CGCCCATGCATTGAAAACCATGGATCTATGCCACAGGACTGCCTTTTCTCTCTTCTCTCCACTGATGCCCAACACAACACTACTGTACTCTACAGGTGACAATTGCTCACTACACATAAATTGCCGTTTTGAGAGTGAAAAAGTGTCCGAGGTGGGATTTGAACCCGAGTATCTGGATTGGCAGTCCATCGACACAACCACTGGACTATCTTAGTGACAACCCATATGCTTTAGTAGTTATGTTAGAGTCGCTGTACACGGCCTTGTCATCTTGAATATCCACGAAAAAATAACGAATACCAAATTGTAAACAACTTACAGCGTTGAAACGTACCCGTTCTGACGTCACCAAGGGCTGTGAAGTTTTTTCGTTTCTAAGGGCGTTGCTATGGGGTTATTTTTTGTCTGATTTGGGGGGATCAGACAAAAAAAACAACAACTGATTTTGAAACCTTTAGTAGTTCTCTTCTAATATAAAATGGTATTAAAACTGTATTTCTAAATAAATCAAACCCGTCATAAGGTCTTTAATGTCATACTGTTCCCCATATTCTGTGCAGACTCTCAGCAGCTGCTGCAGACCTGCAGAGTAGGGGGACATGATAACGAGATCATCTGCATAAAGAAGGTGGTTCAAGAGTCCGTCTCCAATAGAGCAGCCGGTCTTACACTGCCTTAACTTTACAGATAACTCATCCATATAAACATTAAAAAGCATAGGTGACAGGATTCCACCCTGTCTCACTCCGTTTGACACATGAAACACGGGATAAGCAATATCTGTAAAATACAAATTTCACTAACATCTCACATAACGGCCGCACGTGCGAGGGTCTACCCGCTTCTACCCGCTTCACGCAGTCCAGAGAGTCGCGTCTGACCACAGTTAATATATACAGTCTATGGACCACAGCAGCCACTACAGTTCTCTGGCCCATATTGTCTGTAATGTTTAATGATACTTTGTATAGACTACTCGTGAACCACATACTCTGCTAAGATAAGTGCGAGCCGACAAATAATAACGGCTGCATCAACCATAGACTGTATATATTCAACACGTCTGTACTGTTTTATGACAGCGTGCAAAGTAAACGTACAAATGCAACCCATCGGTCTGATCATTTAGGTTAGGTCAACACATTACACTGTCATCTACACTTCTCCATAGACCTCACAGTGAACACATTACACTGTCCTCTACACTTCTCCATAGACCTCACAGTGAACACATTACTGTCCTCTACACTTCTCCATAAACCTCACAGTGAACACATTACTGTCCTCTACACTTCTCCATTGACCTCACAGTGAACACATTACACTGTCCTCTACACTTCTCCATTGACCTCACAGTGAACACATTACACTGTCCTCTACACTTCTCCATTGACCTCACAGTGAACACATTACACTGTCCTCTACACTTCTCCATAGACCTCACAGTGAACACATTACACTGTCCTCTACACTTCTCCATAGACCTCACAGTGAACACATTACTGTCCTCTACACTTCTCCATAAACCTCACAGTGAACACATTACTGTCCTCTACACTTCTCCATTGACCTCACAGTGAACACATTACACTGTCCTCTACACTTCTCCATTGACCTCACAGTGAACACATTACACTGTCCTCTACACTTCTCCATTGACCTCACAGTGAACACATTACACTGTCCTCTACAGTTCTCCATTGACCTCACAGTGAACACATTACACTGTCCTCTACACTTCTCCATTGACCTCACAGTGAACACATTACACTGTCCTCTACACTTCTCCATAGACCTCACAGTGAAGACATTACACTGTCCTCTACACTTCTCCATAGACCTCACAGTGAAGACATTACACTGTCCTCTACACTTCTCCATAGACCTCACAGTGAAGACATTACACTGTCCTCTACACTTCTCCATAGACCTCACAGTGAACACATTACACTGTCCTCTACACTTTTCCATACACCTCACAGTGAAGACATTACACTGTCCTCTACACTTCTCCATAGACCTCACAGAGACAGCAGCAGCCGCGACTCTGCAGGTGTTCACGGCCGCGATATGCGACTCCTCTGCTTATTGACAAAAAACCCCTGCAGAAAGTAAAGCGAAAGGGGCAATCACAATCACTGGCATGTAGATTCTCACGGGATTAGTATTATCACAGAACGTCTGTGTTTGGACAAATACAGGAGCGAATGGGGCTGTAGGGTCCGTGTACTTTTGCGTTCAATACATTTTCTATTTTTGAAGGGAAATGGAAAATTGAAAAAAAGCTATTTTGCATTTTCAGGCACACAGCAATATACAAAAATGACCATTTTGGTTTTTTCATTGCTTATAAGACATATATATATATACTGTATAAAAATAACCGGATTTGGGAACTTGAAAATATAATAATTAACCTTTTTTTGTTATGTATTTAATACATTTCAGCGTCAATCGATTACCCGGAAGTGAAACCAGTTTGTTTACTTCAGCTCTATTCGCTCCTGTATCTGTCCAAACACAGACGTTCTGTGATAATACTAATCTCGTGAGAATCTACATGCCAGTGATTGTGATCGTGATTGCTGCTTTCTCTTTACTTTCTGCTGGGGTTTTTTGTCAATAAGCAGAGGAGTCGCATATCGTGGCTGTGTAATCCTTCAGAGTCGCGGCTGCTGCTGTCTCTGTGATATTACTTTGTTCAGTAAACAAGTACAATAAAGAAAAAAAGAAAAGAAAAAAGGCATTTTGAAGAAGAAAGGCGTGCAATAGTTTTATATTTGCTGAAAGAAGGAATTCCAATCATCGCGGAACAAGGCCAAAGAGTGACATTTGATTATGGGACTGATAAGTGGCCTGGCGCGGCCCACAGAGAATCTCATGTTTAAATGTATATATTATTGAATATAAAGTGAGTGAGGCGCATAACAAAGCCACATTGTCAAGATGAAAGTTTGGTGTCCGCAGCCATGACAGAAAAATGCCACTTTCCCTCTGCATTCTGCGGCTTACATCACATCTTTACAGCGCTTGTCAGTCTTCAAGGAGAACGGCTGCAAACCAAATCAGGAATCATACACACGCTTGAGCTCACACAAGAAAATGAAAAAAAAAAAAACTTTGAAGAGACTCTCCTGAGCATACTGAGTGGGCCGCGAGATTGGGCATGAAAATGAGATGTCTGATGGAAGAAAGCAAAGACATCTTGGCGAATTGCGAAAGCTCAGCACGTGGACATAATCAAAACCCTGCATATGTTATTACTTTTATATGGGACCAAAAGATCGCAGTGATCATGAAATTAACTTCTGATAATTATTGAACTGAAGGTTGTGGGTTTGAATCTACTGTATCGCAAGACCTTCGCCACTGATTCCCACTGATGTCTGCTGTTGTTGTGTCCTTGGGCAAAACACTTAACCCCACTTTGCCAGAAGCTGCTGCTGAAATATCAAGGCAGCTCAGACTAGAGCAGACGTCCTCCTGTGGACTCACCAAAATGGATGGAATTATTGAACTCAACTCTGCCATGTCGACCATTTTTCAGTAAATGTAGTGTTTTTTTTTTTTTTTTAGTTTATTTGTTTAAAGTGACAGGGACAGTGTACAGTAAACATTAACCTCAAAGGGAAAGATGCAGTGCACCAGGTTATACCTCAATTGCTAATTTCCACCCATAGTCCCTGGGGCAGGTTGATGGTATGAGATACACATTATAAAAACAAACATACATAGATATACTACAAACATACATGCATATACTACACCATAGACTGTATATATTAACGGACAGAGTCACGCCTATCTTCGCCGTTCTAACTAATGGGCCAAAAATTGTGCTCTACTGGAGCTATCCAAAATGGCCGCGAGTGGTTCCGCCCACAAGAAAATTGTGAATAAACGCATCTGCACATGCGTCAGCCGGCGAGAGCTCCATTCATTTGAACGAGAAATTCACAGCAAGTAAACTAGAGTGGTCCAAAACATCCCCCTCAGCATTGACACACATGTGGAACGGAGCTTTGGGCCTAGAGCCAACTTTTGGTCCATCCTGTAAAGACGTTTGAGAGGTCTGCCAATGCTATATGTTAGCATTGGCTAATTCTTCTTCTGGGTCCACCCCCATCGGCCCGGGGTGGTATTGCAGCAAGTCAGAGCACGTCTTTTTGGCCACTTTTGAGCCGGGACCCTCCCCCACTGTACTACACACATACATGGATATATGTATGTAAAAAGAACTATCTTGTCAACACTAAGAATATAGCAATCAAACATTGAAGGTTTACTTTTTACATTGATGGTGGGTGTTCGACAGACTGTATTTTACAAAAAAAATTGCACTAAACATTAACCATTTATTGATGTCTTTGAAATGGATCAGATGTAAACCTTGTGGATTAATTTGTATTTCAATCTGAAGAGACCAAGACAAACATTATTGCATGGAAAAGATGTATTGGTTTGGTGCATTGACCCCGGCAGTGACACTTGCAGAGGGGAGATCATTTGCTGCTGGAGATGATCTCAGACCCCCCGGGGTCAAGCACTGGTGTTGGCTAGAAGCATTGTGTGAAGGGGGCGTAGGCGGAGCAGGAGCCAGAGAAGGAACCAGAGCAGGAGCAGGAGCCGGAGCAGGAGCCAGAGCATGAACCAGGAGCTGTGTGATTGGCCCTGGACAGGTGAGAGCTGTGGCCGGTCTTTCAGTCTAAATTTGCGCTTTAGCTTCATCAGAACATTTGAACCGCCGGCTGTGACTTTGTTCAACGTTTTTTCCAGACGCCAAACACATCCATGGCGTTAACAATGAATAATACAGTTAATATTTTTGTTAACAGTTTTTATTCAATGACAAATATCAATTACTATATCGATTACTAAAATGTTATATCGCTAATTACGATAGTTGACTACATGTATCTTCGAACATATTTAATAAACAGCATTGTATTTTTTCAATTAGTCAAAAAGCAATACAAATCTCACATTGTGTTGCCTTGACCTCATTTGGATTCGTGTGATCTAAAGGCCTTTCCTGACTGCTCTGTTGGAGGAGGTTGCAGGAGATTCTTGCGAGCGATGGGCGAACACGGCTGTTTGAACTTTCGCAGCCGTGATCTGAGGGATGTCACAATGTTGCGCCCGTGCCCCCGAGACGCGTGGCGCAGATCTCTGTGGCTGTCAGCCTCCTCCACACCTGTTCCGCCAAATGTGTTCTGTCGGCTGCGAGAGAAGCATCGAACGAGCAGCCCACACACACCGCCTGATGTCATGCTCCTCCGTCTCACAGCTAAATGCACAATATTGACAAAGACTTACACCTTAAAGTAAACACGACAGCTTGGTTTTGTGATGTTTACTGCGGACCCAGGAGGATTGTTCTTCACTCTTTGCTGTTTTCTCAATAAAGAAGTCCGTAGTATGATGCAGGAGAGATCTATGATGTTGGCTGGTATCAAACGCAAACCAAAAGACCAGGTACCTCAAGGTCGAACTTGATTGGTCAGTTAGAGGGGGTAGACAGAAGGGGAGGGGGGCAGAACAGATGCAAATTCATCCAGACAGGTGATAATGGTATAATACTATAATCAGCTCTTCAATCATTTTGATCATTGTAAAGATACTGTTAAAAACTGTAAAACTTCTCCACCACACATTTTGGATTTGAAATGTGTTTTTATTTCGATGTCCCGCCCTCCACCGTTTTACCAATCAGAAAGTCCGTGATCCAGGTTGCCAGAACTCACAGCATCGGGCTAATCTCACTGGTACGGTGGCTGAGTGGATAGCACTCTCGCCTCTCAGCAAGAAGGTCCTGGGTTCAAATCCCGGTTGGACCAGGGCCTTTCTGAGTGGAGTTTGCATGTTCTCCCCGTGTCTGCGTAGGTTTCCTCCGGGTGCTCCGGTTTCCCCTACCACAAAAAATATGTACAATAGGTATGGCATGTGCCTCCTGTACTGGCAGTAGCTCAGTTGGTAGAGCATTGGTCTTCAGGCCTGAAGGTTGTGGGTTCAATTCCCACCTCGACACCTTCTCCACCGACTCCCACTGATGACTGCTGTCGTTGTGTCCTTGGGCAAGACACTTAACCCCACTTTGCCCAAAGCCCCCACTGAAAGATCAAGGCTATGCTCACACTCAGAGAGCAGCTGTCCTCCTGTGGACTCACCACCTGCAGAGGGTCAGTGAGGGGTGGTATCTCTGATTGCCACCCCCCTGACCCAGAAATGGATTAAAGGGTAGAAAATGGATGGATGGATGGATGTGTGTTCTGCTTTGAGTTTATGCTGCAAAGGTATTGCCCTTTGGGATCAATAAGGTTTTCTGAGACTGAATATCTGGCAACCTGAGTCAGGGAGAATGCTTAATGTTGCTGTAAAATGATTCATTTATTTCATCCGTGAAAATCAATTGTAGAAAGTAAGACAAAAGTTAGTATACTTGCCACATGTTTGTGCTTAAACTGGAGGATGGAAGAAAATCGTTAAAACAAAGAAATCATATTATTTACAAAAGTTAATTTTGAGTCCCACAAAGAGTCACAGATATGGTGAGCTCAATTGAATATCGTGGCTTGTATCTACAGTTTATTGAGTTGGAAATGGTCCCACTGGTTTGTGGAAAAGCCGAATCGAGGCTGGTTTTTAAGCGTAGTAGATATTCTTTGCCGGTTTAAACGCAGTAATCGTGAATGAGGAGTTTGACTTTATGTAGCTCAGGGCAATGGCAGACGGACACAGCCACATTCTCCTCCATTTTTTATGAAGTTGCTTTGGCTTTGCAGGTGTTTCTTTGGTATGTTCTGTTCTCTGATTCAATATACTATCAGGAGTAAAACCTTGAAAAGATGCAAGAATAGCAAAAAACTTTTTCAAGCAGTTCAAAAGTCAGACCCCATGACCCTGTCTTTATTCACAACACTTTCCGCAAAAAAATTGAAATAGTAAGCTTGTTGATTTTCTCCACCCATTTATTGACTGACCTGTTCTGACCTGACCATTCCTTTTTCTTTATTTTTAGTGCCTTGGACCCAAAACCATTACTAAACTTGCAAAAAGAAACTCATGTTCCTATTTCTACCAACAAAACTTGTTCTTGTATTTCCTGAAATCTCTATTCTGTTATTTTTCCACCCAAAATCTCTGTCTTCCATCCAATACATTTGAATGTGCCAATCCCACGTTGCCAATCGCTTGTCTAATTTGCAGACAACAATTTTACTTTCCCCATGTTTGCGGTGCCTATCGGGATAAGTGCCTTGTGAACACGCACCATTGCGAGCCGTGCCGTGTGGGCGGTCTATGTGAGGTGATTTCTCCGCTCGGCTGAAGGTGTACTCATCAATGTTTTGATTGCATGTGGTCAAGAGCCACTGCTTCCCCAAAAATCAATTAACATAGTCCCCGGGTGATATGCAAAACAATAAAGCAGGCAGCAGGACACTTAAAACTGTGCCAAATACGTAATTGATTTTCCTGATTAATGTGGGAGTGAATGAAACTTCGAACCATCCATCCTTTCCCCCTCAATAATGGCAACAAATCTTCAACAAAGCCTTTTATTACTCTCCTCAGGGCTTATTCCAGGTGATTTGACTGGATGCTGGAATCTTCTGGTTATTTGGTAAGATCCGTTAGCCACAATTCCAAATCCAAAGCCATATACTCACTAATTAAAGGCGGCTAATGAACACCATCCTTTCCAAGAGCATTTGTGCACTTTGTTCCGTAAATGTTATTTTGCTCATTCCGACTACAAAGAATGGGACTATGGTGAAACCAGTAAACCACCAGAGAAAGAATTTTGTTTTGCTTTTGAAATTTACAAATTACAAAAACATCAAAAATCATTCATTATCAACACTTTAGTTTCAAAAGTCAGAAAGTTGCTGGTACGTGGGCGGTCGTGGGAGTGGACGGGGGTTTGTCACAGAGGCGGCCGACTGAGCACCTAGAGCAAATGAGGCAGAAGTGTCTGTACATACTGTAGCAAATGTGACGGACAGACAGCTGTGGTCTGGCGGCTTCGCTCCAGGGGTCAAAGAGACGGGATCAGGCGAGTGGAGGAGGCGTCATGCACGGGTCCGTCGAATGAACATGACATGAAGTGATCCAAAGAGCACCACAGAGCCGCGGGAAAGAGAGGAACCCTCCCTGTGCCGCGAGCACCTGGAACACGACACAGTTGTGGAGCTCATTAAAGAGGCCTGTAGCTGTGGGGTCAGACGGTGGAGTGTGGCCCTGTAGATGTCCAGGTGCGCGTCATGGGTCACACTATAAGGGCCGTGCAAGGTCGTGAAACGCTGTGTGTTTGCTTGTACAGGGAAAGAGCCAAAAGGAGAGGAGATACAGGAGTGGACAGAAGTTACAGCAGCAAATAACTTAACCAATTTGAACAAAACGTCCTGTTTACATGAAACCACAATATTGTGACAATGACATTTTGATGTGATTTTAACGTTCAAGATCATTTAGAGATTTCATGGCACTTTGAAGCAACTGTGGTTAAAGTTCTAACTCATCAAACATATGCACAAGCCAGTACTTTTCCACTGCATGTTTAGATTTTTGAAGGCCAAGCTACTCGCACTGGGGCAAATGCTGATTGGAGGACTTCATTCCTCCAAGCTGTATATCATCACATGCATTCTGTACACATTACAGATTAAACATTTTAACGATTACATTACTCTTATACAAGGGTATTTAATTTCATATGCCCAAACTCAGACTAACATTATCTTATAAAAGGTCATTTTTACAAAGAAAGGAAGGATAAGGAAGAATGTATAGGTTTGGATGCAGCCCATGAGCAGCGTCAGTTTGGAGCGACGGATTTACCCCTGCTTACCCCTAAAACAGCTGCAATGGCATGTGTAGGCTGCAGACATTGGGCGTGGTGTGAACGGCGGCGGCCGTCCATGGACTGTTTTATTCCGAAACCAAACTGCTATAAGTACTTTAGGAAACTTTTGGACCATGCTCTGGACGTAACAATTAGGACATACACATCCTGTAGTCTGTAGACATCTAAAATGCATACATCACAAACCAAGGTTGCGCTACTTTTTTTAGTGCATTTCCCCAATGGAACCTTCATCACCATGTCACGGTGGCCTGATGAATTAAATATAATAATGTTTGGGTCATAAGAACTACACCAAACGCTAATTTTGTCATGACAAAAATTACCAAATCATGATTTAAACAGTCAGTAAATTGTGATGGTTATTATATGGTTTAGGTGGCTTTCTTTTGTGGCAAGAAATAATTAAGGAATGTTTGTTTGGATGAGATACTCTGTTTTATTATTAAGACAGTGATTGACCATGACCTTTGATCTGACTGTTCCCTTACCTTACCCCTGTCCTTTCAACCCCCCTTGTTTCTCTCTCCTTCCTTTCTTGAGTTATCTTTTTTAGTCTGACCAGTTGTGGAGGCTTGATATGTAGTTCTTCTTGTGGCAACTGGCCAATGAGAGACTTTCCAATTTGATAAAGCTTGGGTGAATCCCATCGATCCTTCAGAAGACTAATGCAGGGTCAGAGGAGCGGCCTGCAGAAGTTTGTCCTTTGCAGTGCTTGTTCTAATCATGTACTTTTTATTTTAAGTAAAACACACAAAATGTAAATTCTGATTCCATGGATCATTGAAAAAAAATGCACAACACCCCAAAAAAATACACTTATTTTGTATTGCATAAGAAATAGTGCTGAGATTACATGCATCTGAATAGTTTGTTTGAATACTCCCATAGGCTTATACTGAATCCACAAAATCATAATGAATTGTGAATTTGAGAGGCTGGAGTAAATTTAAAAATAGATTTCATCACTTTGTTTCTAAGACTGCGGTCGGCAAGTGCAAACAAATACATGCACACTTTAAATGCTGCTTGTTTAACTTTAAGTTAAGTGGGCCTGAAGTGTGTGCGTACAATATAGGTCTTTAATGAGACATTACGGGATGTTGAGAACATAAAAAAGCACAGCAGGAAGTTAAGTGTTGTGCTTCTTTATAACAGCGTCAGCATCATGTAAACACAACATAATTACCTTCATCTTTCATCATGATACGAGCTAAACAAGAAGACATATTTTTCAAACTACAAAGAGCTATTGCAGGAGTGAAAAGTAGCTCGAGATGTTGTTCTTGCGATGAAAAATACACATGGTAATATTGGCTTCATATTTGACTATAAAGTATGGTATGGTTTTTATTTTTACAGGGACAGTATACAATAAACATTAGCCAAGAGGAGCGATCATAGACTGTATATATTAACGGACAGAGTCATGCCTATCTCCGCCGTTCTAACTAATGGGCCAAAAAATGTGCTCTACTGGAGCTATCCAAAATGGCCGCGAGTGGTCCCGCCCACAAGAAAACTGTGAAAAAACGCATCTGCGCATGCGTCAGCCGGAGCAGCTCCATTCATTTGAACGAGAGACTTCAAAAATTCACAGCAAGTAAACTAGAGTGGACCAAAACACTCCCCTCAGCATTGACACACATGTGGAACGGAGCTTTGGGCCAAGAGCCAACTTTTGGTCCATCCTGTAAAGACGTTTTCGAGAGGTCTGCCAAAGCTATATGTTAGCATTGGCTAATTCTTCTTCTGGGTCCACTCCCATCAGCCCGGGGTGGTATTGCAGCATGTCAGCGCACGTCATTTTGGCCACTTTTGAGCTGGGACCCGCCCCCACTGGGAGCGATGCATTGTACCAGGTTGTAGCAGCAGTGCTATTTTACACCTGTAGTCCCTGAGCAGGTTGATGTAAAACAGTAAAATAAAAGTAGATGAATTCATGACCATACATTATCAGACAGAAATCAGGCACAATTTAATTTAAGTTATAACAAAGCCATCCAGGCCCATTCTTCACTTTCTCTAAATACATACAGTACATTCATATACTGAACACACATACACACACACGCACACTCACGCATGCAGACACTCATCACACATGGGAACAGATTTGCCTTTCCAAAAGCCATGTTTGTGTCACGTTCTGAAGAGGATGAAGGACCCAAAATGCAGGACTGCCAAAATATAAGATACATATAAAAACAAAAAAACTAAATCCAGGATACAGAACTAAAAACTCAAACGGGGACAAAACAGGGACAAAATCACAATGGACCAACAACAAGGGGAGAGGAGCACAGGGTTTAGATACACACAGGGACACACAGGAGAAACAGACTGTATTAGGGCGGGACAGGCAATTAACAGAACAGATATGAAAACAGACAGTGAGGAACCAATATATCAAAATGAAACAAGGAAAAGTAATCCAAAAGTCCACACCATGACAGTGTGAATACTTTACGTTCAGTAGAGGTGATGATCTCAGTTGGGGGTGAGAGGATTTCTTACATGATTGAAAACTACCAGCAACTCAGTACCATATACCAAAATGTACATTCAATCATATATGAATTCCAACCAGCACACGGCTCCTAGCGATAAATAAAGCCAGATGAATCTTTGCGATGCACGGTGGCCTAGACTACTGTATATGAGACATTAGGAGCCATGCATTATTCAACCGAGATGCATGATCCTGTTCAAATCCATGCTTCAGAAACAGACTTCCTGGGGATACATGTTTTCGTTCACGCTGTGGCTTCATTCTAGTCACTTTGAAGTCATAATAATTCCATGGACAAAAAGCAGAATGTTTCTCCAGCACATGTATGAATGAGGTTTAATACAGTACTATATTTTTCTTTTTCTCTGCACCTTTCTCAGTGTATCATTAACTCATTGACTTCCAGCCGTTTTTGATGATTTCTGACTTTGATCAGCAAAAATAAGTTTGTTTCTAGCTGTTTTTATTGTCCTGTAATCCCCAGTCGAATATAGGGTCTCAGACAAATATGTCAATGGCGGTCAATGAGTTAAAAAACGCAAATTATTTTTTGTCTATTTACTTGGTAGAATAGTCGCTTTGGTTCATATATTTTTTGGAAGATGAGCTTGTTTGCCGTGATAACACACAAGAGTCTTTGTCAAAGTGTTTTAGAAATGTCTATAAAAGATCCCAGACTTATACACTGCGACTGTGCTCCACAATTCCATAATAATTTAAATTGTTAGTACATTGCCTTCTCTTGCATCTGCGTACACCAACAGCTTTGCGCGTCACAAATCGCAAAACAACACTAATAGCCCAACATTTACAAGTTACTTTTTAGAGTCAATTTCGGTGTCGAGCGGATTTGGGAATGCACGTCTGACAGAGCATGAAACATAAGACGCCTTAACGCGCTGCTTGATCTATAATAATGTGCTTGTGTTGCATCAGGCGCAGGGAGGGAGAGAAACAGTGCGTGTGTGTGTAGTGTGCACGTTTGTGTGTGTGCACGTGCTGATGCAAGCCTTCACACTGTGCTGTTTCACAAGGCCATACGGGCTTATTGACTCTCCGTGTGATCCACTTGGCCACACAACCTAATGTCGAGCACAGTTCCTGACACCCCTGGGACCACCACTTTGAACCCAGATTGTAAAGAACAGAGAGGGCCTCCCCCCGCGACCATGTGGAGCGCACATTTGATCTGACGCAAGTCCGTATACGGCACATCTGTCGGACTTTTTCTGTAAAAGTCTATTATCCTGCTCGCATTAGCAGTAAGTGTGCCTGTTTTTTTGCCACAGGGTGTTGGAGCGGGAAAAGATATATTGTGTTGATATATGATGACTTTGGGGGTTGGAAATATAGTTTAAAGTTTAAAAGTATGCAGCATTTTGATTGTATTTCAATATGATTTAGAGGCAAAAGTCACAGAGCAGTACACTTGGCAGCACCTGGTGTTCCCAGAGGTCTCCCATCACAGTAAGGCAAGGCAAGTTTATATGTATAGCACAATTCATACACAAGGCAACTCAAAGTGCTGAACGAAACAAAAGAGCATTAAAATCCTAAATAATCACAGTATATATTTTATTTATATATATATATATATATATATATATATATATATATATATATATATATATATATATAAAATATATATATATATATACAAAAAGATACAAATATAAAATCCCTCAGTTGTATGCACAGCTAAACAGAACTGTCTTTAACCTTGTCTTAAACATTGTCAGAGAGGAGGCCTGTCTCACATCTTCAGGTAGATTATTCCAGATTTTAGCAGCATGAATCTGAAAAGCAGCCTCCCCATGTTTAGTTCTGACTCTGGGCACTAACAGGAGTCCAGTCCCTGTGAGAGAGACTTGTAACAAGCAGAGCTGTTTTAAAGTCTATTCTCTGAGCCACAGGAAGCCAGTGCAGAGACCTGAGAACTGGACTAATATGGTCGTACTTCCTGTTTCTAGTCAGGACTTGAGCTGCACAGTACAAACAAGGTCCTACCCAACTTGGCATCAGAGGTTTGATGGGATCTGGCTTTCACATGCAGGTATGGCCACTTTTACTTAACAAGATGAAAATGAACATTGAAACTGTACTGTATATAGTAAAATACCGTCGCAATTGTATAGCTAGTTCTGTGATGAATGTGAATCTTGACTTTCCACCGACACATTTAGAAACCTAATTTGATTGGTTCCCATCTATTGTCTACACATTGATACGTACAACAATGTTATGTTAATGGCGGTAAGTCTATTTTACATTAGTCAGTCAGTGATGAGACAAAGTCGAGCGGTAAGAAAGGAGATTTGTAATTATTATAACTACTTGAGACACAGATTGTGTTGTTCAGTGAAGTGCGTCTCCGTTTCCGTTGTGAGTGTATTATAACCTCTGTTTGATGAGGGCCACATAAAGAGGATTGCATAAACTGTTTGGGCTGTCGGAGCATGAAGACATTACAGACAAGGTTAGAATGTCCTGAAGTCACAGAGATTTCTGGTTTCCCGCACACCTGACGACAAAATTGCCTAAGGAT